GATGTAGATGTCTATGGGCCACAGCAACCACTTACCATCAGGTGGACTGTGTGCTCGCTTGTCACCTTTATCTAATAAAAAAATCTAGTGTAGCGTCGTCCTACACTCCACATGCCCGTACGAAGCTGCCACTCTAGAACCGTTCTTGCCCGTTGGCTGTCGGTTCGTCGAGTTACGAGTATATAGTCGGTTCATTGCCACTTACTGATCCGGTGGGACTGTCTGTTACTGTGGCCCTGCTGCGTATATCACGATACGATATATTATGTTTATATTTTCTTAGTTAACATCTTACATTTTCTAAAAATTCGTGGACGTCCGGATGTTGATTTTGTATGTGGTCACAATAACTCCCAAAAAAATTGATGTATCGAGACCGGATTGTTTTTATTAGCTTTAGAATTACATCTACTAGTTCCCTATTTCATATCATCTAGTATGCGTAGTTTGTTAGTAAAATTATTTTCAACGTTTATAAGTTTTTTTGCTATCAAAACTTTAAAGGCGCTCTCATATATTTTTTTAGCATTATTTGATATACAAAGGACAAAATATCCATGTCAATACCATACAGTCTACATCGATTTTATACTTTGCGTAATCGTTTTATATTGGTAAACATTTTTTCCCTGTAGATAACACTACCTGTTAAAATAACAGAGCGCTAAATTTAGCACACGTAAGTAATACCTATATTTTAAAAGTCATGAATACAATTTATTTTTTTCATTAAAATTAAATGAAACGCTCATGAGGCGCGCACTTTTGGATTTTCCAAACTATTTATTCTTATATTTTGTTTAATGTATAATATATATACATAATATTATATATAATATTATATCATATATGTGTATAATATATACTCATAACTGTCTGTGATATCTTGACTTTTTTCATAACACGGCAAATACAAACTTAAGAACATCGGTCGTAGGTATATGTGTGAAGTGGTTTTCTTTACATTTATACAGTTATTTTGCAATAACCGGCCAAATTTGCAGAGAAGGTTCAAAATAAGTAATACAGGGAAATGGTGAAGAAAAATTAATTAAAAATCGCAAACATTCTTTCGTTTATATGTTTTAAAATCAAAATGCATGGTAATGCATTATTTTAACTATTTTATTGCGTACGCACACATTTGTAATGGACGATCGGTACGCAAAAACGTTGTTGCCCATAAATCACATTCAGTTTGGGATAATTTCAAATAAAAGTAGAAGCCTTATTTACTAGTGTTTTCTCCTTAAGATACTTCGAGTCGATAAAAGATCACGAAAATCCGTTGGTGAATGAGGCGGGCTCGTACTCCCCACTGAGGGATGTTGCCCCCCGCAGGAGACGTCCCAAGAACGTTCTTCTTGATCCCGATGACGAGATCACTTCCATAAATAGGTCGATCCCGCCCCCCCCCCCTCCACAGATGAGGGAACTAGATTAGTAAATATAAACACTAACACACACACAGACACTACTCTAGTACAGAACACTAGGGCACACCGCAATCGCCGGCGAATGCGACGTCACAGACACACTCCGTACACGAGGTTTAACACCCGTGATACGGGGCGTTTCTAACTTTTGCGACTCGTTAATAAAATTGCGATAGCGATTCAAGCCGAGGTTCGTACCTCCATCTGAGGGGCCCTTGAATCGCATCGAGCCCCCCCCCCCCTAGCTCGAGGAGCCTCACTCCGAAAGCAGGGGTCGGGGTGCCTCGGGACTGCTGTCGGCGAAGCGGCGCTTCGCGCCGCCTCGCCGACGGCAGAATCGTTGCACTCAATAGTTCGTAAGTACTCACTTACGAACCTAATTAGACGAAGCTGTCAAGGCCGCAGGGCCAACAGCATACTCATTCAGAAAAAAAAAAAAACTTGTGTTTTCAAAAACTGCAATAACGGTATATCATTATTTATATATTTGAACTTAAGTTTAAAGTTTGGCTACTCTGAAAAATAACCCTGTATAAATATAATAAATAAATAAATACTTTGATTGCTAAATAAATTACATTTTTCATTTTCATTTTCATATTACCCAGAGCAGGAAATTTTTTTTTACTCAAAGTATATACGATTATTCTCGCGCTCTAAAACGTTGAAGCATTTTTGCAGTCGAGTTTTTCGTAGCTAATTTTATTCGGTCCGGTTCCATAAGTAATTTTTTTATTATTTTTATTTTCCATAAGAATATTTAGCTTTAAAGTGGTATTTTTCATTAGTTATGTGCCCCGCCCCCCTCCACCAACCACCACCACAAACCGCGATTTCTTATATTTACGCGAATACTACACTACACATTTAAATAAACGAATTTTACAGATTTTTATCGCCTATATTAACTTATTTTATATTCCCGACGTTTCGAGCACTTTACAGTACCCATGGTCACGGGGGGGACTGTTTTTGGAACCGCTGTTTTTGGAAATGTGAAAATAAGTAGTGAAATGTGAAAGAAAAACTATCACAACTAAGTAGAGTTAAGAGGTTAACGAGTAATAGTCGACCAACTTATAAAGTGCATTTGGATTAGTAAAAATTTCGTTACAACGCCATAGAAAATGACGTAAAACTAGCTGCATTATAACTTTGTAATGAAACAGAAACAGAAACTTTTTTATTCAATATAGATTATAAATAATACTTATTGAAAGTCTCTTTCGGTTAATTACCGCTGGTTCGAAAAACAACCCCTGTCCTGGGAAGAACCAGCAAGAAACACAGCGGGACTTTTTTTTAAAAATAACAGCTTTCAATCATGTATGTTACACAATTAACAACATAAAATAAATTATAAATAGCTTGGTAGCGATCACCTCATTCCCAGGGGTTATTATCATCCATAAATTCCTTAATATTATAATAACCCTTTTTATACAAATTTAATTAATAAAAATTTTGAAGTTTGAGCTGGTCAAATTTTGTATATTTTCTGGCATGTTGTTGTAAAAGCGTATACATCGCCCCAAGAATGAATTACTGACTCGGTGGAGTCGAGTAACTGGTACTACTAGCTTCTGTCTGTTCCTAGTATTTACAGAATGAATATCGCTTATTTTTGTATGACTACCTTTATTTTTGTATACGTACATTACATTTTCATAAATGTATTGAGAGGCCAAGGTTAATATATTAATTTCCTTAAATTATTGTCGGAGCGACTCTTTAGGCTTTAAATCATAAATTGCTCTTATGGCCCTCTTCTGTAAAACAAATATAATGTCAGTGTCAGTCGCGTGTCCCCATAGCAAAATACCATACGATATTATGCTATGGAAATTGCTAAAGTAAACTAAAAAAAAATAGCTAAAGTAAACAAGTCTAACTGTTTCCATACTGGTAAGAATGTTATTGTAAACTGTTAAAATAAACATTTTATGAAGAAAACGACTTATATGCATTACCACCATAGGTTTATTTTTTAATTTGCGGAATAGACAGGGAAGATCTTTCTTACTTAATTACTTACTACTTTCACTTATTTTCAGTTGGTAGTTATTATAGGTCTCATTCAAAGTATTCATACAATCATATAGCCTCATACAGTTTCATTCGTCACACTCTTGGTTTACGCGTTCGACCTCAGGATAATTTATGTCATTGATGGTTTACGTCACGGTTCGTTACGGTTATATATGTATATCTTAGGGTTGCACTGCCGGGAATATATAGTTATTATAGCAGTCAAACTGCGAACTCACCTATTATGCTTATTATCAAGATAGCCCACGTATTGTGACGGACAAATACTACGCATACGCACCTCGCGGGGGTAACGACGAGTTATGTTGGACCCGCACTGACTAAAACACGTCAGGGTCACGGGAACGCTTTCGCACACATCCGCAACTAACAGTCGCCCCTTGCACATCAGTTTTTGAATGAACAAAAACTTATTTTAATTGTGTTTAAATATTTATAATATAGCATTATAAGTGTACCATTGTGTACAAAATAAAAAATTACCTTATAAAAATCAACGCGTAGGTCATTTGCAAGGCCTGCGTGGATCAGTGTTCCGCGGATCATAGGTTTCGCAATCACTAGCCTAGATGGTTATCGTATTATTTTTACTAGTAGAAATGGTATTTGACCTATACCTGCAATTTAAACAATACGCGAAAGTTATTGCCTTTTTTTATAGGATAAGGGTGACAAACGAGCACACAGTCTACCTGATGGTAAGTGGTTGCTGCGGCCCATAGACATTTACATCTATCCTCTATTACAAATCAAAATGCAGATGCGTTGTCACCCGTGAGGACTAAGATGGAATGCCTCATTTCCAGTAAAAAGGGCCACCGGCCACCTGCACTCACCAAGCGAAACGCAGAGGTAAACCTCTGTAAATAATGTTCTCCAGGTCGATCGGCCATCAACGGTGGCTAGCTATCTGTGCAGGAAAGGATTATAAACCACGAGTGTATACGCGAATACAGGTGCACTATTTGTTCCTTCGTTCTCATAGACCGATGGGACGGTAAACCGATACGACCGGAGAGAGATCAGACGTAGGACCAAGACTTTACGTGTTCTCCGGGCAGCTACTGAGAATTTCTTAACAGAAATACTCGTTAACTGATCGCATGTAAAGAAAAAGTTTTGTGCGACTAGTTTTGGGAGGTTTGCTTAATGGATTGAATAACATAATATAGTAATTTCCTTCGACCATGAACTCGAAAGATGTCCTCGTCATAACACTTGTAAACGTTCAATGATTAAAAAGATTAGTTTCTAGATAGAAGCATTCGTATCGGCGCCGTTCGAAAGATCGAGGTCGAGATCGTTTTGTCAGGCGGGTGATTGATAAAAACAATCAAATTATCATTGAATGGAATGAACAGACTGGCGTTAGAAACAGTGTGACTTGACAATTGGAACACGTAGTATTATTATAGTTTTTATTCAAATTCATTATAGGAAGTGAATCGAGTTATTATTTATTTACTTTGTTTCTATTCCTGATTATATATAAAGTTCGTAAATAGCGAAATCAAAATGGTGGAACCCACTTGGCTTTCCCCGTATGAGGGCCCTGTTCAGAAATCAAATCTTGCTGGAAGTGTAATGGATGGTATATCGGAGGACAAGATCTTAATGAACTATAAAGTGTACAAGTCCAGATGGGTGATGCTGGCTTTCTTTGTGCTTTACTCTGCGTCTAACTCGCTGCAGTGGACGCAGTACACCATTATACAAGACATAGTGGTGAAATACTATGGAGTGCCGAGCATGGTGGTGTCGTGGACTTCCATGGTGTACATGATCACGTACGTGCCGCTGATATTTCCCGCCAGCTGGCTGTTGGATAAAATAGTGAGTGGAATCGATTCCAAAATAAAGTTTTAAAATTTGTTGTAAGGTATTATTGGACGTAGTTATGCAAAAAGGATTCAATCCAAACTCTGTTTAAAAATGAGTAACATAATAATATACAATATAAATACAAATAAATAATGCAAACACTCACGCCTGTCACCCAGAGGGGTAGGCAGAGACTACGGATTTCCATTTGGCGCGATCAATGATGGTTACTTTAATGAACTGGTCATTAAAAGAAAGGGCTATGAAAGTGAACGTAAGTAAGAAGAAAGTGATGGTTTTTGAAAGAGAAGAAAGTAAAACGTTATGTGAAATAATAATAGAAGGGGAGTTGATTGAGCCAGTGGAGGAGTTTGTATATTTGGGATGTTTATTTAGCAGGGATGGTAGATATGATAAGGATATAGAACGACGAGTGAATGCAGTAAATAGAGTTAATGGGGCTCTACACGCTATTATCAGAGTCAGAATGTGTCAAAGAAGGCACGTATGGCAATTCATAATGCCGTGTTAGTCCCTACTTTAATGTATGGTAGTGAAAGTTGGGTATGGCAGAAGAAGCATGAGAGTAGAATAAAGGTTGTAGAAATGCAGTCATTAAGGAATATGCTAGGGCTGAATCTGAATGACGGGGTGAGAAATAGTGTGATAAGAGAAATGTGCGGTTTGCAAGATGACGTTGTGACTAGGATTAAAAAAGGAATGCTTCGGTGGTTTGGTCACGTAGAAAGAATGAACGAGGAAAGAGTGACAAAGCAAATTTATGTTTCAGAAGTGAACGGCAAAGTCGGGAAGGGACGCCCTAGACGAAGATTTATCGACCAAATCGGCGATACATTGAAAATGGGCCAGATTAGGAGTACCCTTAACCGACGAACGTGTATGCGTAAATATATAGACGTAAAGGAGGCGAGAGAGGTGTGTCAGGATCGCGCCAAATGGAAGTCCGTAATATATACGTACCTTAAAATAATCTTAGGAGCCAATGGTACAATACTTTTGTGATATTTTTGTTTTAACTCGAACAAGCCACAAAATTAAAAACAAATCGAAGCTAGTTACTGTCACTGTATATTACGTGGTAGAGTCACGCTGCAGCTATATTAAAGTTGAAGCAGGAGGAATGGGTCGGCTCGACCGGGAAAGGACCATGGTCTCACAGATTACCAGCGTAAAATAGCAGCTTAATACTATGGCTTTTACTGGAAATGAGGCTGTAATGTCCTCTTAGGTGAAAACGCATCTTGATGTATATCAACGGACCACACCATGCACTTACCATCAGATAGACTCTCTGCTCGTTTGTCATCCTTATTATATAAAAAAAAAAACATTGAACCAATCTTCAAACCTCAATATCTCAAAAGTATCTATTATATTGTCGGATCATTTTTGCATAACAACTACCAATTCTGTGAAACATACTAGGTGTAAGGAAGGGATATTTCCTCCTCTCGCCTTATTAAATTTATTGGCTATAGAAAAACCTTTAAAGGAGCTCTTTAATGTAGAATAATGGTCGTTCATTCACATCCAAAATAGATTGCCGCTCTGCTTGACGAGCGGAGACCGAAATAGGTACTTAATAGGTCACAAACTAATATATTGAGGACAATGATTTGTGGAAATAACTTTGCACTTGTAAGTAAGTTCCCTGGCTACTTTATAAATATATTTTCGCAAACGGGTCAATATTGTTGGAATGCTTTTCATTCTATAGTGGTTTCAGATTTATTTATTTATTTATTTTAAAACAGTGTACATGCTGGCTTACAGTATGTCCAAAACGCCAGCATGCTAATTTACAAATTACACTTTTAAATAATAAGTAATTGATTAAGATACATTTTTTTTATAGGATAGGGTGACAAACGAGCACACAGTCCACCTGATGGTAAGTGGTTTATGTGACCCATAGACATCTACATCTATCCTCAATAAAGACTCAAGATGCAGATGCGTTGTCACCCGTGAGGACTAAGATGGAATGCTTCTTTGCCGGTAAAAAGGGTCTCCGGTTCTCTACACTCACCATACGAAACACAGCAGCGTTAAGCTGCTATTTTACGCTGGTTTTCTGTGAGAGCGTGGTCCTTCCCCGGTCGAGCCGACCCATTTGTGCTACAACCATAATATAGCTGCAGCATGGCTCTACCACGTAGAAAACATGTCCAAATAAAATTAAAAATAAAAATACATGCCAAATAGATTAAAAAATACATGTCAAATAGATTACATGTCAAATAGAGTAAGCAAAATATCATTGTCAAATTAACTAATCTAAGATTAAATTAATATGTTGATGGATGGACAGATGGACCGACTCCCACTGACCCTCGCATTTCTTAATTATTAACCCGAGTAGCAGACCTTCGTCCACGTTTGTTAACCGCCGTCGTTCCAAAGTAGCAGCATTGAAGTAACGAACCGCAACTGTGTTCAAAAAGTACTATATCAAGTGGTTGTATATATTTTATTTCGTATTATATTTGAAATATCTCGAAAGACATTAATTAAAAAAAAATGCTGCTACAAAATAATTAAACACTTGAATCTTTAAGACTATTTTATTCTTAGGTGATTTATAAATACTCTAAGCTTTGAATTATACCTGTTGTTGTCTCGTCCTCGATAATCACAAAGGTTGTTGTCCCATTGCACTCTAGTCTAGTGCAATGGGACAACTACCTTTTTATTTATTTATTCTTTTTTACATCTACCTTATAATAAGGTATATAAAGGGCGGACTTAATGCCTTGTGGCATTCTCTACCAGTCAACCTTGGATGATTTGAGAAGCTGTGGTAGGTGTAACACCTTTGTGATTATTTCATCGTCTTCAAACGAGACAACGACAGGAATAATCTGTTTGATTGTTCAATAAACTACGTTAGTCTTCTGGCCTATAAAATTTATGTTAAATAATAGAGAGTAATTTCAGTGATTGGAAAGAATTTTAAACAAAAAAATGAAGGAGAAAGAAACTTGTACCGAGGTGATTCCTTATGTGTTCGCAATCAGTTTAGCTAATTTTAACAAGAAAAAAAAACTTTTTTATTTTCGATTCTCTCCACCAAACAATTATAAAAGTTTCAGTATGGGAATGTACACATAACTCGCGGTTTGGCGGATTAAGTCCTCCACTTTTTATGTTGTTCGCTTCCCTTCCTATCTCGTCTACTTCCAATCTCGTCCACTTGAAAAATGTAGGAATAATATTTTATAAATAAGTATTAAAGCATTTCATCAGGTGAATACATTCATCATTTGTTGTAATCTAAAATTATTTCACGTAAGTCAACAGGATTATTTGATTATCTAGTTTCCTTTGTAAAAGTATTATTATAATACTCATTATTCAGGTTAATTACGCAATTAAACATGTGTTCGTCAAGGATTAGGAGCTATTAAAAAGATGGATAGCATTGTTAACGATGAAGATAAATGTTTTAACAAAACATACATTCGAATACTATGATTATCACGTCTTTGATAGGGACAATTACTAGATATTAAACAGATATTAAAAAATTTATCAATATATAGGTGTGCATGTGTATTGACAAGAAACATTTTTTTTAATGTAAACTTGGTTCCATACACGGGCTTGTATTTTTCGTGGTCAATGGTAAATCTTAATTGTTTAAATATTGATAAATCAAAGGACTATCCTTTTCTTGATTGAGGTGTATTGCATCATACTGGTTATAACTTTTGAGACATGAATTTAAGCTATAATGGAGTATACCGCATAAAATCAAAGCTTAGGTATTTTGAAACAAAGAGAGAAATAAACAAAGCAAAAAGGAACGAAAACAACACTTGGCCATTCCTTGCAAAATAGTCATAAACTATGATAATTTTTAATTCATTTCGTCATGTGATGCGCCGATTTTCTTTGATTAGCCGTCTAACAGTTACCACATTTTCCAAAATAATCGCAGTTAATGAACGAACTTCACGAATCTCATCATAGAGGAAACCGTGACCATGATAATATTCAGCGTACAAACGCCTGACAGTTTTCAAATGTGCTGTTTCAGTCCCAAATGCACTTGCGAGGTGAGCGCGGCACTCTTGAGGCGAAAGTGAACATTAAAAATCTATCTAAAATATTTTCGAGTTATATTTATTATCTACTTATAAAAATTTATTAGGGGTAATAATTTTGTGCTCACCAGATGTCGCTAGTTGACAGTGAGGTAAAGTTTTTTGTGTAACAAAATCAGTTATCAGTTTCTAGAGTATTATATTAATACACAAAACAGTGTCACAGTGGTTTGCTCTTTAATTTTTTTTCACATTTTTAACTTTTTCTTAAAAAAATTATATATTACTTTATGAATATCCGTGGTTGCTTTATTTATTTTAATATTTTTAAATTAAAATATAGCTAATATTGAAGAAAGAAACAATAATCTTTACATTTTCTGAACAAATTAAACTTGCCTGCTATGAAAGCTGTCAAATATTTTACCCCACTGTAAAATGGCGCCGCCCTGGTGGCAGAAAAAGTCGTGGATGCCCTCATTGACAAGCAATTACATAGATGACGTACTTATTTTTCAAACATTCAGAATTACAATATTCATGGTGAAACAGGAGTGCAAAACTTTCAGTGTTACCTTGTGATTGTAATATACAAATATACTGGTGACGTACGCATATTATCCATACTGGTCATAGTACACACACACACACACACACACACACACACACACACACACACACACACACACACACACACACACACACACACACACACACACACACACACACACACACACACACACGCACGCACGCACGCACGCACACGCACGCACGCACGCACGCACGCACGCACGCACGCACGCACGCACGCACGCACGCACGCACGCACGCACGCACGCACGCACGCACGCACGCACGCACGCACGCACGCACGCACGCACGCACGCACGCACGCACGCACGCACGCACGCACGCACGCACGCACGCACGCACGCACGCACGCACGCACGCACGCACGCACGCACGCACGCACGCACA